GCCGGGGGCAGAGTTGTGGATGGCTTTGTAAGTTGTTGTTAGTATTTTGAATTTTATTCATTGAGCAAGTGGAAGCCAGTGGAGGGATTGGCAGAAAGGGGTGGAGGACACTGAGTGGAGGCCTGTGGAGGGATTGGCAGAGAGGGGTGGAGGACACTGAATGGAGGCCAGTGGAGGGATTGGCAGAGAGGGGTGGAGGACACTGAGTGGAGGCCAGTGGAGGGATTGGCAGAAAGGGGTGGAGGACACTGAATGGAGGCCAGTGGAGGGATTGGCAGAGGGGGGTGGAGGACACTGAATGGAGGCCAGTGGAGGGATTGGCAGAGAGGGGTGGAGGACACTGAATGGAGGCCAGTGGAGGGATTGGCAGAGAGGGGTGGAGGACACAGAATGGAGGCCAGTGGAGGGATTGGCAGAGAGGGGTGGAGGACACTGAATGGAGGCCAGTAGAGGGATTGGCAGAGAGTGGTGGAGGACACTGAATGGAGGCCAGTGGAGGGATTGGCAGAGAGGGGCGGAGGACACTGAATGGAGGCCAGTGGAGGGATTGGCAGAGAGGGGAGGAGGACACTGAATGAAGGCCAGTGGAGGGATTGGCAGAGAGGGGTGGAGGACACTGAATGGAGGCCAGTGAAGGGATTGGCAGAGAGGGATGGAGGACACTGAGTGGAAGCCAGTGGAGGGATTGGCAGAGAGAGGTGGAGGACACTGAATGGAGGCCAGTGGAGGGATTGGCAGAGAGGGGCGGAGGACACTGAATGGAGGCCAGTGGAGGGATTGGCAGAGAGGGGCGGAGGATACTGAATGAAGGCCAGTGGAGGGATTGGCAGAGAGGGGCGAAGGTCACTGAATGGAGGCCAGTGGAGGGATTGGCAGAGAGGGGCGGAGGTCACTGAATGGAGGCCAGTGGAGGGATTGGCAGAGAGGGGCAAAGGACACTGAATGGAGGCCAGTGGAGCGATTGGCAGAGAGGGGCGGAGGCAGGGGCGAACTGACATCTCATGGGGCCCCCCGGGCAATAGGGGATCATGGGGCCCCTGTGTCCTTGCCCAAACTCAAAAAAGCCTATGAAAAAGGTATCAGGGGCATCTCATGAGGCTCCCTGCTGACCCTGGGCCCTTGGGCAGTGCCCGAGTTTCCAAATGGTCAGTCCGCCTCTGGGCAGAGGACACGGAATGAAGGCCAGTGGAGGGATTGGCAGAGAGGGGCGGAGGACACTGAATGGAGGCCAGTAGAGGGATTGGCAGAGAGGGGTGGAGGACACTGAATGGAGGCCAGTGGAGGGATTGGCAGAGAGGGGTGGAGGACACTGAATGGAGATCAGTGGAGAGATTGGCAGAGAGGGGTGGAGGACACTGAATGGAGGCCAGTGGAGGGATTGGCAGAGAGGGGTGGAGGACACTAAATAGAGGTCAGTGGAGGGATTGGCAGACACTGAACGGTTGGTAAGGTGGATGAGTCTGGCAGCAGTATTCATGAAGCACTGGAGGGGGCATAGCCTCTGTAAAGGTCATCCAATGAGGAGGGAGTTGCAGTAGTCGAGGCGGGAGATTACCAGGGAGTAAATTAGGAGCTTTGTGGTATCATTGATTAAAAAGGGGCGTATTCTGGAGATGTTGCGGACGTTGATTATTGTTTATTTGTCAGTAGGGATGAGAGGAGTTCGATTTGCTGGACGTTCAACACTTAAAAAAGAACTCTGGGAAAATGTTTACTTTCCAGCGCAGTGGAGTTGCGCCCACATGGGTTAACTGCTCGTTTTGTTCAGGGACACAAGGAAAAGCTATATACATCAACTCTTCTCTTCCTTCATCATTCTTCATCCCCCACTGCCTCCACCCACTAACTCACTCACTGCCTATGAGATCGCCAATCATTTCAAAAAGAAAATCGATACAATTTGTGAGGTCTCCGACGTGCAGATACCTCCCCTGCTTAACACTCCACATCCACAGGGACAATCACTACTTCCCGCATTCAACTCCTCTACTATAGACGAGGTTGCTGAAGTTTTTTTTCTAATGGCCACCTAATGTCCCCTGCACCCTGTTCCATCGCAAATGCTACAGTCACCTCTGGCTCAATCCTACAATCTCTAACTCACTTCTTCAATCTCTCCCTCTCTTCTGGCATCTTCCACAATTCTCTAAAACATGCACTAGTCACCCCCATACTTAAAAATCCTCACTAGACCCCACCAATTTTAACAACCTACAACCCAATCTCCTTTCCCCCCTTTTCCTCTAAACTCCTTGAAAGCCTGGTCTACAACCAGCTGAGCAACCACCTCACTGAAAATAACATTCTTGATCCCCTTCAGTCTGGATTTCGCTCTCAGCAGTCCACCAAAACTACTCTCCTCAAACTTACAATCTACCAACGGCTAAAACCAATGGACACTATTCTGTACTCCTACTCCTGGACCTCTCTGCTGCTTTTGACATAGTGGAACACTCCCTCCTCTTCAAAAAAACTCTACTGCTTTGGTCTCCATGACTTTGCTCTTTGTTGGTTCTCATCCTACCTATCCCACCGCACCTTCAGTGTCACTTACAATTCTACTTCCTCTTCTCTTCCTTTCTCCATTGGGGTTCCCCAAGGTTCTGTTCTGGAACCCCTCCTATTCTCAATCTACACCTCTTCCCTGGGTCAACTGATTGCCTCCCATGGCTTTCAATACCATTTCTATGCTGATTACACTCAAATCTATCTCTCTACCCCTCAGCTCACTCCATCAGTTTCCTCACGCATCACTAATCTACTAACAGACATATCAGCCTGGATGTCACACCACTTCCTGAAAATCAATCTATCCAAAACTGTTCCTCGTTCCTCCCAAGACCTCCTGCTCTCTAGCTCCATTGTCACCTCCAGAATTGCCTCCAGAATTTCTCCAGAGTCACTCCCATCCTATGGAACGCCCTTCCCCAATGTGTCTGACTATCTCCATCTCTGTTCACTTTTAGACAATCCTTGAAAACTCATCTCTTCAGAGAGGCCTATCCTGCCAGCACCTAACAACTGTACATGTATTTTTCTATCAGCCCATCCCCCAAAGTTATTACCTTTTGTATCTCTGGACCCTCCCTCTTAGATTGTAAGCTCTAACGAGCCGAGCCCTCTGAGTCCTCCTGTATTCATTTGTATTGTAATTGTACTGTCTGCCCTTATGTTGTAAAGTGCTGTGTAAACTGTTGGCCCTATATAAATCCTGTATAATAATAATACAGTCTGGGAAGGGACTTTTTGTGTTGGCAGGTGGCAACTGTTCACTGCGTGTGTCAGCTGGAGGCTAGGTCACCTCCTGCTAGAGGGGTATAAAAGCATAGGAAGACCTGCCCCGAGGGAGTTGGAAGCCATGGGAAGCAAGGAATTTCCATTTACAATTCTGTGGAAAAGTATTTGCCCCCTTCCTGTTTATTTATTTAGCATCAATTATGGCAAGTCATCCAGGTCCTGAAGGTGCAAAGCAGCCCTAGACCATCACACTACCACCACCTTGTATGACTGTTGGGATGATGTTCTTTTTATGATCTGATTTGTTAGATTTACACCAGACGTAACGGGACGCACACCTTCCAAAAAAGTTCAACTTTTGTCTCATAAGTCCACAGAAGATTAACGCAAAAGCCTTGGGATAATCAAGATGTGTTTTGGCACATGTGAGACCAGCTTTTGTGTTCTTTTTGGTCAGCAGTGGCTGTCACCTTGGAACTCTCCCATGGAAGCCATTTTTACCCAGTTGGTTTTTATATTGTTGAATTATGAACACTGACTTTACCTGAGGCAAGGCCTGCAGTCCTTTAGATGTTGTTCTGGGTTCTTTTATGACCTCCTGAAAGAGTAGTCGTTGTGCCCTTGGAGTAATTTTGGTCAGCCGGCCACTCCTGGGAAGGTTCCCCACCATTCACAGTTTTCTCCATTTGTGGATAATGGCTCTCACCATGGTTTGCTGAAGTCCTAAAGCCTTAAAAATGGTTTTGTAACCCTTTCCAGACAGATACGTGTCAATTACTTGTTTTTCAATTTCTTTAAATCGAAGACTTTCTTGAGATCTTTCAGTATTGGCATCAATGAACACAACACAGAAATGGGAGTTCTTCAAAAAGACTGTATGTGACCACACTGAAAATATATTCCCGTGGGCAACAAGTATAAAAGGCTAAAAATAAAACCTATGTGGCTTATGGCCAGTTAAAAAGGCTATAGATAGTAAGAAAAGAGCTTTTATTCAATATAAAAATGAAGGAACGCGATCATCGTTTACACATTACAAAGAATATACCAGAATATGCAAAAAGGAAATAAAGGCACAAAAATTGAAAACGAACAACAGATTGCAAAAGATAGCAGGACCAACCCCAAAAATTCTTCAAATATATGAATAGTAGAAAGGTCCGGTCCGAGCATGTAGGCCCTTTACAGAATAATCTAGAGGGGGGGGGGACAAAGCGAAGGCAAATTTATTTAATCCCTTCTTCAGCTCTGTGTATAGAAAGGAGCATGGGGGGGCTCTTGTCCATAATGGGGGTTGGTGGTACTGACACAGCTCCATATTATCCACATTGGGGCTCACAATTGATATGATCCAGAAATTATATTTAGACAGAATAAATGTGAATAAAGCCCCTGGACCGGATGGCATACACCCACGGGGGCCTTAAAGAATTCAGCTCTGTCATTTCACAGCCATTGTTTTTCTCATTTTTAGGGACTCTTTAATGACTGGCATAGTATACCACGGGATTTGTGTAAGGCCAATGTGGGGCCAATATTTAAAAAGGGGTCAAAATCTTTCCCAAGTAATTACAGACCTGTTAGTGTAACTTCTATAGTTGGGAAGATACTGGAGAGTTTAATAAAAGACCACAGAGAGGAGTTCTTGCTGGAAGAAAATATTTTAAGCAACAGACAGCATGGATTCATGAAAGACAGAAGTTGTCAAAACAAATCTGATTTCTTTTTATGAGGAGGGGTGAGCAAAACCTTTGGACAGAGGGGTGGCAGCGGACGTGATATACTTGGACAGAGGGGTGGCAGGTGGACGTGATATACTTGGACAGAGGGGTGGCTCGTGGACGTGGTATACTTGGACAGAGGGGGTGGCTGTGGATGTGGTATACTTGGACAGGAGGGGTGGCAGTGGACATGGTATACTTGGACAGAGGGGTGGCGGGTGGACGTGGTATACTTGGACAGAGGGGTGGCTGTGGACGTGGTATACCTGGACAGAGGGGTGAGTGGCGGTGGATGGTGGTATACTTGGACAGAAGGGTGGCGGTGTGGACGTGGTATACTTGGACAGAGGGGTGGCTGTGGACGTGGTATACCTGGGACAGAGGGGTGGCAGGTGGATGTGGTATACCTGGACAGAGGGGTGGCGGTGGATGTAGTATACTTGGACAGAAGGGTGGCGGTGGATGGACGTGGTATACTTGGACAGAGGGGTGGCTGTGGACGTGGTATACTGGACAAGAGGGGGGTGGCGGTGGATGTGGTATACTTGGACAGAGGGGTTGCGGTGGATGTGGTATACTTGGACAGAGGGGGTTGCGGTGGATGTGGTTATACTTGGACAGAGGGGTGGCTGGTGGTCATGGTATGGGTGGTGGGGGGGATGGGGGGGGGGGGGGGGGGGGGGGGGGGGGGGGGGGGGGGGGGTTCAGTGTTAGTGGTGTACCCCAAGGTTCAGGTGTTGGGACCCTTACTTTTTAATATATTTATAAAACAATATGGGGTCTGAGATTATAATTCCATTTCAGTCTTTGCAGATGACACCAAGCTGTGCCGGGGAATAACATCCTTACAGGATGTCTCCAATTTACAAGCCGACCTCAATGCTCTGTGTAATTGGGGGACTATGGGGCCAATGAGGTTTAATGTTGATAAATGTCCATTTCACAGGAGCACGGCTCGGGAGTGAGCCAGCTCAAGTGCCCCATAGCAAGAGGCTTGCTATTGGGAGAACTCAGAGGGGGGGGAGGAGCCAGAACTGTCAGTGGGGGACCCAAAAAAGAGAGAGGAATGGGGCTGCTCTGTGCAAACCCATTACACAGAGCAGGTAAGTATGACATATTTATTTATTTAAATTACAACTTTAGAATCACTTTAAACTATAATATCATAGACACCACAACAACAATTGTTTGTTATATATTAAAATCTTCAGTTGTAGCAACTCATAGAAGCAGAAAGTAAATGCGGTTTTTATTCCGTACATAGTGGGAAGTTTGGAGGATTCCTGCTGAATTGGTGGAAGTCCAAGCCAAGGGCGGCCCCTTTGGTACCGCGGGCTCAACAATCTGAAAATTCGGAGGAGCTGGGGCATAAAATTCTCGGCCAGACAGTGACTGCAGCCATTCAGATTCAACAGCCTAGACACAGGGAGATCCCTCCATCCACACGGGTTAGCGGTAATAAATCGGAGCCATCGCTCTCACGGTGTAGGCTTGCACAGCGGATTCCACGATCTATGCACCCACACACTGTCAGAGCTGCCACAATCGCAGTCAGGGCTGCTATTAGAAACCACGGGGCCCCCTACAACCAACATGACAGCACCCCCCCCATAAAAAAACACAGCTTACTATGCTTTAGTTATGAATGAACACAGTGAGTGACCAGAACTGATCTCTCATTGTATTCATTCAGGAAAGGGGCTGGTAAATGTGACATATTTACTGGACCTTTCCCCTACTCTCCATCCTGAAGGATCCTATTGTGCGCTTGAAGCTGCTGGATGGAAGGAGAGGAGGGAAGCCGGAAGCGCTGCGGAGGAGTGGGGACACACAGGGGGACCTGGGCAGCAGGGGGAAACATTATGGTGCACAGGGAGGGTGATGGGTGTGACAGGGGGTCAATTACTGGAACCGATCCCCTTTATGGGTGCGACTTACCATGCGATTATGCAAGTCGCATGGCATGGCAAATTGCATGCACAAGTCGCACCCGGTGTGACCGGGGTCTTAGTTTCTTTTAAGGATGAGCCCCAGTTTGGTCTGAACTTGGGACCAGACTGAACCAGGAAGGAAGATGTCACACCCACTTACTGCCACCCAATCAACTGCAGCCAAGGCTTTTCCATGCCTGCAGCTACGTGTGCACAAATGGGAGGAGATGCTCATGGTGTCACTGGACCTAATATCGCCCTCAGTTGGTTGGGTGGCAGTGGGCAGGTATGACAGCTTCCCTCCAGGTTCAGTCCGGTCCAGTTGCAGCGAGTTTCAGATGGAGGACTTTCAGTCCACGACAAATATGCTACTGTAATCCGGACCGTGGGGTACCACCAGTCCTCCTGTATGGGGCCCAGTCCAGCAGAGGGGGGCCAGGCAGCTGGGTGAACTGAATGTGGACAGGGAGGGTGATTGGCACATGGGGGGTAATTACTGGAAACCAATCCCCTGTGTGGCCCTCTCTGCAGCAGCTGGAAGCCGGCTTCTTCTCCTCTCCCTTCTGCTGGCTTCCAGCTGCTGCAGGGAGAGCCATACAGGGGATCGGTTCCAATAATTTCTCCCCCCCCTCCATTGCACCCATCACCCTCCCTGTACACCATGTGTTTCCCCCTGCTGCCAGGCCCCATCTATGTGCCCCCACCCCCCTGTGTGCTGCCAGACTCCTTCCTTCCCACTGGCTTTCTGCTGCTGCAGAGAGAGCCATAAAGGGGATTTCAGTTCCAATTAATTGCCCCCCCATTGCACCCGTCACCCTCCCTGTACACCATTGTGTTCCCCCTGCTGCCTAGGCCCCCCTGTGTGCCCCCACCCCCCTGTGTGCTGCCAGACTCCCTCCTTCCCACTTACTTTTCTGCTGCTACAGGGGATCGGTCCCAGTAATTACAAACCCCCCCCCCCCACACTGCACCCATTACCCTCCCTGTGCACCCTATGCTTCCCCTGCTGCCTAGGCCCTCTTGTGTGCCCTTATTTTTTGTATTTCAATGTTTTTATTAATTTATAAACAGTTTTAAGACAGGAGCTCCAAGACACGCCACGCAGGGGCTATCAATGGCACATGATAAAAACATTAGTATAACACCGACAATAACTCAACATCTAAAGGCAGTTATCCCACTCTGCCACACCAAAAACAAACAGAGAAAGAAAAGGAAAGAGGAGGAAAAAAATTGAAAAAGGTAACAAGACCAAGAGCAGGGGTCCGAGAACGCCAATACCGCAGCAACATCACAACCCCAGACTAGCGGGGGGGGGGGGGGAAAGACATATTGTAACCATGGCTCCCATATTTTCAAGAATTTCCATTGGGAATCGTTGCAGATACTTGACATCTGTTCATTGAGCATTATAGTGGTCATACGGTCCCGCACCCCCTGAAGAGGGGGACAAATGGGCTCCTCCAGGCCTGAGCAATTGTTCTAGTGGCCAACAGAAATAAATAGGAAGAAAATTTCTGCTGGAGTGCCAAGAGGCCCGTATGGGACAATGAAGCAAGGCGTACCAGGCATCCCGGCGTATGGAGAGATGGAACAAGCTGAAAAGGAGGCCAAAACACACGAGACCAAAAACGCAACAGTCTCAGGCATGACCACCAGATACGCAATAACATCCCCACGATGGCCACAACCCCGAAAGCATTGATCACTGCAGGCAGGGTTAGCCTGTGCCAAAACGAGCCGGGAACCCAATACCAGCGAAGCAATACCTTGTATGCTGCCTCCAGCGTGGTCCTATTAAATGAACATTTAGCAATAAGCGACCAGGCCCTATTCCAGTCCTCCAGATCCACGACTGCCCCCAGGTCACGCTCCCACTGAGCGACATATGAGAGAGAGAAGTATAATAATATTATAAGCTGCAATAATACGTCTGTTCAAAGCTGCATAAGGAACCCGGAAGCTGTTGGCAAAGCAGTTCAAAGGCAGATTTCTGGTACGGCCCCCGCAGTGAGGTCAGCCAATGCCGCAATTGAAGGTAACGAAAAAATTCCGCCGGAGGGACATCCCTGTGCACTAATTTTTTTGAGCATTTAGATATTGCTTGGGTCATGATCTGCCAGTCTTGGTGGACAAGCTGGCCTCCTAATTCAGTTTGCCAGGGCTGGTGATAGGGCCATGGGGGGGTGGGATTGTTGTAAGAAATGACTGAGGAGTAGATTAGTGACATTAGGCCCAGGGAGTGGGAGTGACCCAACAAAGAGGAGAACATGGAGGATCCCTACACCCTACAGGACCACCTAGTCTACTGCAGAGTCCCCTAACATCTTTCCCCACAGTGATACCAGAGCTTTCTAGCACTTTAATACATATTTTGTATTCCCATACTTTTATTGTGTGAGTGTATAACTTTCATTTTTTTTTTTTTACTGTTGGGCATGGAAGGCTTTGGAAGAACTCACCTGGGCCTTAATCCCTTTAAAGTTGGGGGGGCCATTGCTTTATAAATCCATATAACATTCTGCCAGGAACAACGTAAGTATATATTCCTAGGCTTCATCTCTGAACATTTTCAAATACTGTTTCCTCCACAACTAAAGCATACAATAGGGACCGATTTATTGCTTGTTGTTTAACTGTTTTATTGTGCGCTTTAAACCGCAGCAACCTCGAGCAAATAAAGGAAATGGACAAATACGAGAAGTTTCTGAAGAACCTTTGTGCTCATCAAATAAAAAACGTGTTAAAAAGTTGCAGTACTCAAGATGACAATTCACCTTCATCAATATACAAAAAAACAAAGTATACCAGGCTATAGTGGGTATATATTGTTCATTCTTGGGGTTTGCATACACCCCAGTACAACTTTTTAGGGTGTGGTGCTGTGCTTTCTTCATATAGGAGTGTAATAGGGTGAAATTTATCAATAGGCTCCATGGCTTTTTTGTGATGTGGTCTAAACTTCTAATGCAGGTTTTTTTCCCCAAATTCTTTCTTCAAATTTGTAAGTAAAAGTATTAAAAACAGAGCCTCGTGGGCATACCCCGGTTTGAAAGGGACAGAGTAAAACAGAATAAAAAAACTAAAAACATCAAAACAACTGATTGCTATAACCACTCAGGTCATACTATGTACATTGTAAAAATACAAAGGAAAAACAAAACGGCGCTGAGAGAGGACCACACATGAAGGGTAGAAATATAGGGGTCTGATAAAGGAATGTTCTAATATACATATATACAGTTATGTTCAAAATACTAGCAGTCAGACATCACTAACCGGATCAATCACTGTTTTTGGTGAAAATGATATTTCTACATGGCAAATAATTTCCTAGCAGGTGTAGTAGAGTAATAGAAATCCAACAGACCCAACAGTCATGACATGCATGCTGCTGATTCTGTGTCATTGAATCACTCATTGAAAGGGGCGTGTTCGCAATAATAGCCGTGTGGAGTTCTATTAGTGAGGTCATTCATTCTTTGAAAACCAGGTGGCAATTATTGCCCTTATTTAAGGAAGGAAGGCAGCAAATGTAGGACATGCTGGTTACAGTGCATTTCTCTCTGAAATTCTGAGGAAAATGGGTCGGGACTCAGCCAACAATCAGCTCCAGGAAGATGAAAGAAGGTGTGACGTTCCCTGTGAGGACTCA